GCATGGCCTAGCCTGGGAGACGCAGGGGGGTTAAGCGGGCCGCTGATGGCTTTGGTGGGCAGCCTGGGAGAAGGCGCTCGGGAGCCAGGGCCCTGCCCTGTCTTGCCGCCTGGAGGGGAAACAGATTTGGGTGAGCTTAGCAATAAAGGAAGAATTCCCAAGTGTGTGGGCGGCACTCCGGACACTCAAGCCTGCCTAAGTAGGCTGTGTGGTGGATACCTTTTCTGCATGTCCACTGAGGCCTCAGGAGCCACAGCTGTGACTTCGAGGTCCTTCGCAGCAACAATGTGCTGTCCTCCAAACAAGCCCAGATCTGGCCACCAGCCTTCCTATCCATGCCATCTCTGCTGTCATCTACCAAGGGCCACAGCGTCTCCTAGCCCAGGGCACTGAACTGTCCTGACCTCCATTGAAGGCCACCCTCGCACTCATTCACCAATACCTGCTAGGTCCTTATGCTCTAGTTTGGATCTGCAGGTGAACCACCCAGAAGTCCTGTCCAGGGAGGTTTTCCACACTCCCAGTATTTTGTGAACAAGGACTTTGTTTCTGTAGTGAGAGCAGAAAATCCACGATTCCCTGAATACATACAGTAAGTCAGGAAGGAGACACTTACCCTTGACAATCCAGGTCCAATGACCTTGAACCCTCTTTCCCAAAGACTTGTACTAACTTCCAATGGCCTCCTAGCTTTCTCGCCCTATAAATCCTTCGTTGCATCTGAGCTAACTTAAAATTCAGTTCCTCTTTTGAATTCAAACAGCAAATTGCTCACAGTAAGCACTTGTTTTTGGTGAACTTCATGGAAGACTGGCATGGAGCTTGGTCCTGGGAAGGGGCCTCAGCACAACCCTGCACCACTCTGCTAGTTCTCACTCTTTCTTCTCCATGTCTCTCTCTAAGAAGAAAAAAGTTCCCTTCACTGTTTGCTGCATAGAAGTTCTGCAGTTACTGCTTAAGTATGTCCTTGGAGTATCATTGTCAGCTCAGGAGGCATATTAAACTTTTCTTCCAAATATAGAGCTCTTCCTAAAAAGAATTCCGGGGAATATGTTTGTGTGTGTGTGTGTGTGTGTGTGTGTGCCTATTTTAGCACTTCTGTATTTTATAATCCCGTTGACAACATGTGGAAAACATTTGAAAAAATGGTGGCTTCTTACTCTGCCACCTTCCTGGGTGTTGCAGCATAGGAAATGCAGCTTTCACTTCAGATTCTAAACCCTAGCATCGGTTGGGGGTTCTGAACTTTTCAGGGTCAAGTCTCCAGTGTGTTTACCCAAGTAGGTGCTAAGTCATACCTGAAGTACTCGATGTCAAAATCCAGGTCAATAAGGTGTGGCAGAGGTGACTCTGGGAGCCAAATCTAAGTGGGCAGGACCTTGTTATCCACTTTCCAAATGAGAGACCCTCTGGCTATGATGTGACAGTCACCTGGACAACAATACTATGGAATGGCCATTCTTAAGGCAAGGTGATGATATTATTCTTCTGTTGAGGATCCTCTTTGAGGTGATTCCAGAAGAAATAATGTCTTTGCACTGATGCACCCACCTTGGCCGACTCGATCCCCCTCGAGGTCAAAGGCTGGTGATGCCAGAACAGCTGACCGACTTCGACCAGGGGTAGAAGGCCCTGATACCTTGCCCTTCCAGTGATAGGATCTACCATCTGCAACTCCTACGTCAGACATTTTATGTGATTTCTGAGGCAGGTGCATTAGTTCAGAGATTTCTGTCTAAAGGTTCTCAAACCTGTTTACAAAATACACAGAGATGCCAATGGAGAACCTAGGCAACTCTCTAAACAAGGTGAAGCCCACCTGTAAGTCCAGTTGCTGAATGAAATGGAAAGAGATAATAAGTTGGAAAAAGAGACTACTCTTAAATAATCTATTCAAACTTTTTTTTTTTTTTTAAGTCATGGTCTCACTCTGTCACCCAGGTGGAGTACAGTGGCATGAGCCCTGCGCTCAGGCGATCCTTCTGCCTCAGTCTCATAAGTAGCTGGGACAACAGGCATGCACCAGCACACCTGGCTAATTTTTTAATTCTTTTTTTTTTTTTTTTTTAGAGATGAGGTCTTGCTATGTTGCCCAGGCTGTTCTTGAACTCCTGGGCTCAAGTAATTCTCTTGCCTCAGTCTCCCAGAGTGCTGGGATTACAGGCATACTAAGGCAGTGAACAAAACACAGTCCCTGCCTTCATGGAACTTACATTTAGAGGGATAAGACAGACCATAAACAAGTAAACCAGTGAAGATATAATAAATGGTAATAAGCAATACAAAGAAAATAAATCAAGTTAAAGGACAAGTGGAATGAAGGGACGGGACTGATCTTTTATATGGGATGAAGAGTGAAAACCTCACTGATATGTTGATCAGGCGCCACTTGAGCAGAGACCTGCAGGAAGAGAGAGAGAGTGGGCTACATGGACACTTGGGAGAAGAGTCTTTTAGGACAAGAGAGCAGCTGATACAAGGGGCCTGTGGCAGCAACATACCTGGCGTGTGCAAGAGTAGCCAGAAGAACAGTGAGGGTGGAGCGGAGGGCAAGAGCCAGCAAGAAAGGTGGGCAGTAAGATCAGAGAGGCAGCAAAGGCCCAGGTCCTTTTATCTGACTGACAAGAGGACCATTGGGAAAGTTCCAAGAGAGGAGAGCCATGGCCTGTCTTCCTCTGACATGGTACCTATCCATGCATTTAGTTGTTGGCTTTCTCCTTGAGTTTCTATCCTGTAGCTGGCATCACTAGTCACTTCTTTAAGGAGCTTGATCCCTAAAGAGATAAATTCGTGCCTTTCCCAACACGGCAAGCTCAAACATCTGACCCTCGTGTCCCATTGGACATATAGACAAATGGGAATACTGCTGGCTTCTTTTGGCTGGTCCCTACAAAAGCCTGACTGGGGTTATTTTTCCCATCTTTATTTCTATGAAGAGAAACTGGTGGCAGCTGTCTATTCCAAAGGACATTTGTTTGCTAGCACTGAGGAACTTTGAAAAATTAGAGGGCCCTGAAGAATATCTACTCTGTTTATTGAGGAAGACCTTAGCAATACCTTTCGTGCCAAACCCTCAGCAGAAATGAAGAAAAGAAAATGGTGCCTGAGAAGGTTCAAGTTGAATCTCAAAGCCTACTAGAGTCCTTATCTTTGCTGGACTTTTTCAGTGGGTGAAGACAGTGAATGCTTCCCATAATGTGAAACAGTCACAGAGGCCACTGAAAAAGTTAACAAGTCATATGGTGGAAGATGTGGGACCAGGAATGTTTGGACCTTGATATTTCCCAGATTAGTGATATTTCTGGAGCTTATTCACCTGCTGGCTAAAGAGTATAATAATAGGAAAAACATTCTTTTGGTCACAGCAAATATATATTTGTTCAGTTTTAATGCCGTACTTTGAAAGCATCTGATGTCCACCAAAACACAAATGGCTGCATTACACTGATTACAAAAATGATCTCAATTACCCACTCATGTCTGATTTTATAATCTTTGAAATGTGATTTTTCAGTTCCTCCCACCAAGGGGCAAAGTCTGTTTCCCCATCTGTATCTCTGGGCTGGCCTTGGATCTTGCTTTGGCCAAGAGAATGTGATAGGAAGTAACACTTCCTGAAATTCTAAGTTACTTCCTAGTAATATTTTCAAGTCTAAGCCTCAAGATTTTTTAATCACTTCTGTCTTCTCTCCTAGAAGCCTGCCACTGCCATGAAAACAAACCCTGGGCAGTCTGCTAGATATTGAGAGACCATGTGGATCAGAGGCAAGCCAGGCCAGCTGTTCCAGGGGAGGGTCCAGAGACAGGAGAGATATGAGAAATACAAGATTATCAAAGCCACTGACTCACCCTGCAGTTGTTTGCAGATACTAGAGGAAGCCCATCTGAGATCTCTCTAAACTGCTAACCCACAGAATTGTAGACTAAATAAATGACTGTTTAATGCTTTTACATTTCAGGGTATTTTGTTACACAGCAATACCTAACTGATATACAACTCACACATTTCTCTTGAGTCCACAGTGATGTCACTATGACCTAATCCAGTTTTCACCTTCTGTCTATATTCTGCAGTCGGGGCCACCATCAACCCATTGCTAAGGACAACACAGTAAGGCATGCCATTTTTTTTTTTGAGGTAGGGTCTCATTCTGTCACCAGGCTGGAGCACAGTGGCATGATCACAGCTCACTGCAGACTTGAACTCCTGGGCTCAAGTGATCTTTCTGCCTCAGCCTCCTGAGTAGCTGGGACTATAGGTGTGAACCACCGAGCTCAGCTATCAAGTCATTCTTCAGCTATTACAATGGGATAACTTAAACAGGTTGATGATTTAAAAGATTCCAAGAATAATTTTGTGCTTTGGAAACTTCTAATGCTTAAGGTCCCAAGTACATGATCTTCTCCTATTTGACTGTTCACTAAAAACACGTCTCGCTTCCTGGCATGTGCGGACTGCCCTGTTGGTTCCACAAGTTAAGAGGTAAAGACCAGGTCTGAATTCTTCCTTACCTGCTGCATCTCTCTGGCCTGCTGGTCGCAGCACAGGAAAGCCACCGGCAAACAGATCTCCCAGTGCTGGGGGCGTGCTCGCACCTCGGGAGTTTGCAGAACCTCCTCCTTCTTTGTTGGTGCCTTTAGAACCTTTAGAGAGAAGAGGCAAGTAGACAGGGCTGAGTGGCCAGTTCTCATTCCCAGCCCTGGTTTACTCTGCCCTCATCAGTCAGCCTTCCCATTCCACCCTTCCAATGTCACCTTTCCACTCAGCATCTTCCCCAAGCATCCTCTGCTTTGATACCCTGCAGGCTCATGTGCCTTGGCCTGTCTGCTGCCCTCTCCAGTCCTACCAAAGAACTGACCGTTTGTAGCCAACCACGCTGAAAAGTGACCAAAACAAAGGGGCCTGAATATTGTCATTTTGTAGATGCCAATGGGGGAAATGGCAGCACCTTTCGAATTAGAAAACCCTAACAGGGTGGATGTAGAGTTGGTCTTATTTTCAACGTGTCTACGGAGAACTAGACAAAGAAAACCCACAGAGTTAATTCAGTCAGTTGTTCTGACTTCTTGTCCACAGAGCATGGACCAGAACAGCAAGCAGGATGGAAGGCCCGTGAGGGTTTATGTCCCTCAGGTCCCCAACCTCTCATGCTTCCTTGCACCTTTTTTTCATGGAAGAAAAAGCTCACGAGGCCCTGAGAACTAGTGTCGCAACATCCAGCCCTCCAGGTGCGTGTGATTACCAACTGCAGAAAGCGAGAAGATATTCAGCTTAGACAAGAATTTCTGGCAGACATATTTTCAACCTGAAGCTAATATGCATGGAGAAATTAGGGCACAGTGCCCACTGGTGGATGAAAGTGGCTGGATCGTTCTGAGTAGCAATATTATTATACATTACTTACTCACTGGAATGATTAAGAAGTGGGTGTTCCAATAAGATGAATTTCTCCTTTAAGCAGGCTTAACCAATTAGATAATGAATCTAAGCCAAAGCTAATTTTTAAAATCATAATCAATGGTGAAAATATTTATTTTAAAAACTATCCTTGTGTGTTAACATACATAATTATTGATAGGAGATAGAGTTATATTTTAAAAACTATCTTTAAGAATTACCATCATGTACATTATTGTAAAATATATGAACACATGATAATACCTTACATTACATGTTGAGCACCCCTTATCTGAAATGCTTGGAACCAAGTATTTCTGATTTCAAATTTTTGAGGTTTTGAAATATTTGTACATACATAATGAGATATCTTTGGAATGGGACCCAAGTCTAAACACAAAATTCATGTATGTTTCACATATGCCTTTACACATAGCCTAAAGATAATTTTATATAATATTTTAACACTTTTCTGTCTAAAACAAAATTTGTGTACATTGAGCCATCAGAAAGCACAGGTGTCATTATTTTGGTCACTCGTGAACAATCTGTGGTTGTTTGGTATCACCATTCCTGACTCTGAGGTTCCATCCCATCAATGAGCAATCATTTTCTTGCACTTACTCAGACATAAGTACTTAGCTAAAAATATGGGCCAGGCATGGTGGCTCAAGCTTATAATCCCAGCACTTTGGGAAGTCGAGGCGAGAGGATTGCCTGACCTCAGGGGTTCAAGACCAGCCTAGGCAACTTGGCTCATCTCTACAATAAATAAAAAACAAAACAAAACAAAAATAATGGGTGTGGTAGTGTGTGCCTGTAGTTCCAGCTTCTTGGAAGACTGAGGCAGAAGGATCGCCTGAGCCCAGCAGGTCGAGGCTGCAGTGGCTTTGAGCGTGCACTATAGCCTAGGCAACAGAGTGAGATTCTGACTCAAAAAAAAAAAAAAAAATTACATACCATTATATAGTGAAAATAAAATTGTATCCATGGCAACTAAGCAGCCCATCATCAGAATACCTGCATCAGCTGCTGAACAAGAGCAACAAAAGCAAGGGCAGGCTCTCTGTCTCCACCTAGGATGCTGAGTTTTGATTAAAAGGTTATCCATCTACAGCCATACCACCCTGAAGGTGCTGGATTTCATTTGATTAAAAGGTTACCACACACACTTTTTTTTTTTAAGGTAAGAAGAAACATGAGGAACAGCTGAAGGACCAGGAAGTGGTTCCTCTAGGAAGCGCTCTACTGGTTGCTTCTTAAAAATGTTTCCTCCAGAGTTACCTGCCTCATTAACAATATTTTGTCTTAGAAGTCCGTCTTTTATAAACTGACATGATTTATTGATCCGTTATGATTACGCTGCTCTAGTTCTTCAATAAGCGGCCATGTATTTTCACCAAGCGGCCAGCAGCCACTTTTTCTGCAGTGTTAACAACGTCATCTTCAACATCCCTTTCTGGCATCACCGCAGCACTCAGGAAGTTTCAGATTTGGGATTTTCGGATTAGGGATGTTCAACCTGTACTAAATAGTGCTGCATATATTATTTCAACTTGCAACAGTCTTGACCAAAAAGACAAAAGAGCAGGTATTATTATCTCGCCCATTTTGCAGATGAGCAAACAGCTTCAAAGAAGTTCCCTGCTTGGTCTGGTGGCAGAACCAGAACTCAGCACAGGTCATCTGACCTGACCACGAGATTTCTTTTACTCTGTAATACTCCAGAAGACAGAAAGTTCCAGCCATGTAATTCTCTGAGACAGAATTCTTTTTTTTTTCTTTTTTTTAAAGTTTTCTATTCAGTCTCTATTCCTTTCTCTGGGGTGCAAGAAAATGGTAAGGGTTAGAAATATAGCAAGAACACAAACAGAATACAAAAAAAGTCTTGTGTATGGGCTCATTTGAAACTTCTACAGAAGGTTTCTTTTTTTTTATTGTGGTAAAATATACATAACATAAAACCACATATCATTTTAACCACTTTTAAGTGTACAGTTAAGTGGCAATAAGTACATTCAGACTGTTGTATAACAATTACTACAATCCATCTCCAGAAGTTTCTTCTTTTTAAATTTAATATTATTTTTCAATTGACATAAAATAATTGTACATACTTATGGAGTACATACATGTAATCGATAGTGATCAGATCAGGATAATAAGCATACCCATCATCTCAAATATTTATCATTGAGATAGAATTCTTAATCTTTTTCCTTGTGAAAAATAAAACTAAAGCTTTACATTTAAAAAACTTTTTGAGACCTTCATTTTCTATCCCTGAGTTTGAGGGCTATGTTGACACAGGGTAAGCAATTGCTATATGTTACCCTACAAAGAACACACAAAATGTGGTATGTCCACACAATTAAATATTATTCAATGATTAAAAGGGAGTGAAGTACTGATACATGCTATGCAACAGCATAGATGAAGCTTGAAAACATTATGCTAAGTGAGAGAAGCCCATCACAAAAGGCCACATACTGCATGATTCCATTTCTATGAAATATCCAGGAAAGGCAAGGCCATAGAGAAAAAAAGTAGATTAGGGTTGCCAGGGGCTGAGGGCTGGGGGCTGGTAGGAATACAGAGTGAATACTGATGGATGTGGGCTTTTATTTGGGGCCAATGGAGATGTCCTGGAACTAGACAGAAGTGATCGTTGCAACAGAATTGTGAATATACTAAGTGCCACTGAATTGGGCACTTTAAAACGGTTAAAATGGAGAATTTTATGTCATGTGCATTTTATCACAATAAAAAAATTAACCTCATGGTAATTACGGAGTTTTGTTACTGTTGTGATGGAAGATATGCTGTAAACCACTTGCAGATCTATAAGGGAAGCTCTGGCTTTTCACTCACTCGGCCTGGCCATTGAGCAGGTCTGAGAAGACCCAAATGTGTGTCCTGGGAAATGACTGTGGCCCCAGCCAGGGGTTTCTGGTTGTGCCTCACTCATGTGCCTGTCCTTGGCTCAGAGGAGTCCTGGCCAGGCTGCTCACTTACTCTCGATTTGCGGGGCACTGCGGTCGTTGATCTGGGTGACTTTTCGCAGACGAGTCCCTTGCTGGATATCAGCCAACAGCGCACTTCGACCTTTCGGATCTGCCTTTCTCAAGTTGGAAGTGTCTGTGCTTACCTGTAAGGGAATAAGAGGGGGTTGGCTATGACTGCACATAACATTCACAGATAAGTAAAACGTCCTGTCTGCTGTACATTTCTCCTCCAGCAGTTCTCTGCCTCCCCTGTCCCATTCCCAAGACCGATCTCACTGATGTGGTTACCTACAAGTCTCAGTGGAAACAGTCTGGGGCCTTACTAACACCTGTCTCCCTGGGGTCCTAGAATGGACTGTTTATTTTAGATGACTTTTAAATAACTTGAGCTCAAGCTCTGGGAACCTTAGGGAACTCTAAATCATAGCCCCTCTTCCTTCTTCTAGGGAGGTCCCCCACTCCCACCTGGGCTTGGGTCTGTGTGTACCTGGTCCCTGCTCCCAGGTTCTGAATGACCACCCTGCTTGGTGTCCCAGATCCCCTTCTGGACCAATCATTGACTGACCCCCAGTTTGACGGTGTGCCCTGGCTTGCCCTGGAATTGTTCTCCTGGGCAGTACTTATGTCTTGCTCAGTCCCTAGGTACTCATCCTCCCTGCCATTGAGTCCTAGGTGGTCCATAGTAGGCTCATTATGACTCATAATTGAAGCAGATTTAGGTTCTAAAAGTTGGTTTTGAGGGAGGGATGGTGGAACAGAGGGGAGAACTGATGAACTCAAGAGAAACTGGGGTCCAGAGAGGTCAGAAAATTGGGGAAAAAGGGAGGTCAGGAAATTGTAATAAATGCTTAGTGACTGCCTACTCTGTGCCTGAATGTGTTACATTGATCCTCATAAAACCTTGTGAGTTTGAAGTGAGCTCTCATTTTACAGATGAGGAAACAGACTGAAATTGTCTGTTTAAGGTCATAGGTCTAGGGTTCAAACCTAGATAGGCTGAATCTCAAAGGCCTTGTGCTTTTCACTTTGCAACTATGTAGCTGCCAAGGGCACATGTTATCTTTGGGATAATTGTCCTAAAACCAGGGGTCCCCATCCCCCTGGGCTGTGGACCAGTACAGGTCCATGACCTGTTAGGAGCTGCATAACAGGAAACAAGCAGCAGGTGAGTGGAGCTCCATCTTCTGTCAGATCAGCAGTGGCATTAGATTCTTATAGGAGCATGAACCCTACTGTGAACTGTGCATGTGAGGGATGTAGGTTGTGTGCTGCTTATGATAATCTAATGTCTGATGATCCCCACCCCCGTGCTGGTGCACAGAAAAATTGTCTTCCACAAAACCAGTTTCTGATGCCAAAAAGGTTATTAGACCACTGCTCTAGACTGTAAAAATATTTGCAAGTATAACTCTTGTCCTATTCTGCAAGTAGCTCTGAGATCCAACTTCACTTCTACTGGTGCTTGAGCTGACACGACAGGGTTTTCCATGGATTATCGGAGCCAGGGAGCACCAGAAAGAACATGGGAAAGTTGATGCCAAATAAGGGATAAAAGATGTTGCAATGCAAGACACAGGCAGGAGGATTCTCTACAGATGGAAGGTTTACACCAAGCACATGACCTTAGTGATGGTTGAACATTTCTCAAAGCAAGAAATAATTCTTAGCCTCTGCTGTACAGGAAATACCATGTGTCTTTGGGTTTCATCTTAAACATCACCACTTTGGAGGCCTTTTCTGACCTGCAATTTAAATAAGACCACATATTGTTTTCTCTGAGGGTGCCATATTTCTTTTTCCTCAATCACATTTATCACAGGGTATTTACATTTATATTGACATTGTAGAAATCTTCCATTTATGATTAGGAGTTTAATGTTCATTGCTTCTAAGGACTCCATATCAGAAAAAATGATTCTGTTTGTTTTGTTCACCAATATATTCCCAAATAGTAGAACAGAACCTGGCCCAAGATAGGCTCAGTAACTATTTACTATACAAATGAATAAATGATGAAGTGATTGAACGGATGAATGAACCAGACCCAGGATGTATAAGTCACTGCCCTTGCTCTTAAGGACATATACATGTACCAGGGAAACAGGCATACACTGCTAGGAGCTAATCCACCATATAATGTGGCATATGACTGAGCAGACCCAGGAGTCCCACAGAGAGGAAGGCTACAGAGACTTGAGAAATGGCCATGTTTATCAGGCTGGACAGGCTTCAGGGAAAACTGACATCTTAGATGTTCCCTGAAGTAGAAATAGGATTTACAAATCCTTACTATAGCCATTTTCTGTTCAGAAAAGGACAAATCAGGTTTGCTGACAGAAGACTCATGGGCTCTCTAGCACCACAGACTAGAAACAGAGGCAGCTGTGTTTGGCTGAAATGTGCTGAGTCTACATTTTCACTGGTTGACTCTTCTGCATGGATTGTGAATCTTATGCAGGCTTGAAGGACACAATCTTCAAGGTCTGATTCTTGTTGCTTGGAAACATGCTTTTTGAACCCTTGAGAGGGACTTATGGATAATGGTCAACAAGAAAATTGTGAACAATGGAGCTCAACTCTAATGCATTGTCTATCTATCTGTCTTTCTCTCTCTATAGATACATGCACACACACACACACACACACACACACAAACACACTCACATTTTAGGAAGGCAGGATATTTCCTACACAACAGGCTTTAAAACAAATTCTTATAAAACATTAATACCATGAATAATTTTAAACTGCAAAGTTTAAAAAATCTCCTTTCATTTCATTGTAATAATTAATATCAAGAATAAGAGACCAACAGAAATATCATGGCTTTAGTCAAGAGGATAGGAAATTTTTTGTGTAAGTTTGGCATTACAATTTCAAGTATGCATTATGGTCAGGAATTTGGGGGGAAATGCTTTGTAATTTTCCTTCTAGGTATAGGATAAACAACTCAGTGAATTATAATATTATTCATGGCTCAACTCAGGTAAGAGTCTGGGGAAGGAGGGGATTGGAATGGTGCATTCTTTTGTTTATAAAAGCAACTGTGATAACAGAAAACCCTCTCCCTCACTATCACCTGGATGGGGAAGGGGGAGCATCTCATCCAATTTAGACTGTTTGTTATCAAAATGTATCCCCCACTTTCTGACCTTGTACACCCCATGCTTTTCAGGTGAGTGTTATGAAGAATGCTGCATATCCTTGAATAATTATTTTAATCTTAGTACCTACTTAGCACATGCCTCAATACATTCTTGACAATTCTACATGGCTGACTTGTTAATTAAACATCTTCCAAGTCAGCAAGAGCCTATGGCAAGTCACACTGTGTTTACAAGATGCAGTCCAGCTCTCTGGTCTAAGCTTGACATTCCTTTTCCTTTGCTGTTCTTCCTACTCCAGTGTCAGCCATGGCGATTTCCCACTAGAGGGCTCTCTGTCACCTGATATTAGTATGGTAGTCTCCAATCCTCTCCTTTGCTGTAAGGCAGAAAAGAATAACTTTGTGGCTAAGGCGACTGTATGCAGTATATTTAGACTTAATGGGTTTTGCACAAAAGGGCATATTCATTCCCACATTGAAGAGCGCATGACACAAAGACAGTCATTCCTACTCTATCTGCAATACTTGTTAACAATTCAACCATAATTTACTGTCTCAAAAATCCCCTACAAACCAAAGAATTCTTGTTTCTGTGGTTACAGGATGCAGAAACAGGAAAGAAAAGATTTCCAAATATTCACTGACATTTCATTCGACACAAATCCTGGTCACTGGTAACTTCACTAAAAATACAATCAAGGGAGAGAAAGCCACTACAGGACACTTTCCCATGGCAAAACTATGCATATACACACAAAAAAAGTTAAACATACACAAACAAAACAAAAAACAGAACAAAACATTACTTCAGAGTTCACTCTTGTTCTTTCTTGTTCACATTGTTATTGAGTAGTGACAATCTGTTGGGCTCCACACAAAGCTTTGGTGACTCAGTTTTCCTACAGCAAGCTTCAAAAGAAATACCCAGGATCCTAAAAGGATGCCACATAGTAGAACCGATGTGCACATTTGCTCATACTCTTGGTTGAAAACGCTGAAAAACTGAAATGTGACAGTAAGATTAGACATACAAAAATGAACGACAGACCTAACCTTGCTAAAAACAGAATTAAAAATAGGTGAGGGGCCTTCCCTCTCACCTTGATAAATTATAAAAGCATTTGCATATCCATTTGTCATTCAACAAATGAGTCAAACGCCTTATAGTGTAGGTTGGGAAAAAGGGATGGCAGTCCAGGCCAGATCAAAACTTTGAAATGCATATCTTCCTGCTATGTGTCCCACCGTCCCCATATGCCATCCCTCATCTGTCTGATGCTGGTTTCTGTGAAAAATGTGAATAAAAATCTAGCCTATTGATCCAAATCTAGTAGATCGTTTCTCTCCATGATGATCCAAACTCTATCATTTTAACACAGTTTCAGCCTTGCAGTCTCCTAAATGTAGCTTCTCCAATGTGGCTGTTAGACCTAAAATTAGTGCACAGGTTTCCAGGCACACAGGCCTGAGCATCACCCTAGTCGTCAACCTACTCCTGCCTTCTCAAACTTGGGGGCGGATAGGCATCAGCAGCCAGGGTACCTGCAGTTCATTACCAAGTCTGAATCCCAATATAGCCAGAATGGCGATGTCTACCTTCTGCTGCTACCATCTTTATGTAGGAGGACACAGAGAGTCTGGGGTCCAAAACAGAGACATGGAATTTTTTTTAAAGCTAACTCTCCCCTGTCAGGTCTGACACAATGTTCCCTGTACCCCTAATGTGCATAAGTCAAGCTGTTCATGAATTAGGCATCTTGAGATCTAACAGTTGCATACCACATTTTTAGAAATCCAAATATGCAATTCATGAACAGTTCAAATCCATGTACCCACTAACCTCCTTTTCTAAAGCCTGATATCTTCAACAAAGTTACCTACAGACCATGATTACTACCAGAGTACACAGTTGACTTAGCCAGTGCTGCTTTGCTTCTCTGGAAGTAAAGCAGAATTAGAGGACCTTTTGCAGGGGCTATAGATGATTCTGGTCCTGTTCTTTGCACCCATCAAAAAGCCCACCCATCAAGGTTATCT